TTTTACGGCATTTTGAACGAGGAACACTTACAAGAAAAAAATAGCATGATAAATTTACCATGGCGTCAACTGCACTTTTATATTCTGGGTAGTTGTAACTGATCTGTTTCTTTTGCCCTGTCTGGGAAATTTCAAAAAACTGAGGTCCCTTGGTTTTTATGTTGCAGAATGTCTTTCATATTTGGCAGTAATTGTCAAATTACCACAGTAATACTGGGTACTTCTGTTTTAATTTAATCAGTTTACAAAATTATGAGTATCTTTTGGTCATTTTTAGTTCATTCCTTTTCTGATGGGTGTGTTTTCAACTAATATGAAGACCAAAGCTTACACTGTTTTTAGTGAACATAAAATAAGTCAGTTCAGGTTATAGAATTAACAAATTGTGGCATAAACCCACTAAATATATTTATTGTTTATCCTCAAACATAACAGGAGAAACAGAGAGGGTGAATATTGTTCTAAGACTCATAAACGCATTTTATATTCTTTTACACAGATTGACTTGGAGAGCATATTTTCACTTAATCCAGATCTTGCTCCTGATGAAGATATTGAACCTAGTCCAGAGACACCACCACCCCCTACTGCATCAGCCAAAGTAAACAAAATCGTGAAGGTTGGTAATAGCTATGCAACATGTTCATGTTAAACTTACAGTGCTCCTATACATGTTGTTATGCTTGAAGTTTTAACTTTAACTTTTGTGTCTGTGGAGCGACTTGATAACTGTGTTCCTTTCTTTTTCCTATGGGGAATAGGGGTTTCTAAAAATTTTCTAAGAACAGGTTTGGGAGAGAGGGAGTTGCAATATTTATATAACTAAATATATGTCAAGGAAAAATACAGAAAAGGTTTTGGAGGTTGTTTTGAAACAGTACATATAGCTCAAGCAGACTTCACCCTAGGCTCTTCAGGGAGGGATTTGGGAACAATCACTTCTCCGTATTGCTGACATTGTGTTATTTTCATTCACTGGAAAGAAGCAGAGGTGGGGCTGCAGTTTACGTTTTCAATAATAAGGTGGTCGAATAACAGAGACTTCTTTCTTTGTAGAGTCGGCGAACAGTGGTACCTCTTAAGAATGACACCTCTGCCAGAGATAACAGAGGTAAATGTTATCTCTTTCCATTTCAAGGAAGTAAAAAATATGGGAACATTTTAACCTCCTGCTCATCTAACATTCCTTAATAGTTCTGCATTTGTAATTCGGTATGTATGCATGTGACATGTAAAAGACATGGTACATCATTCCTAGAATTATTCCTATGTATATTTAGGAATTTGTACTGTACCAGTAGTGTTTATATGCAAGTTTAAGCAATATAGCGTTAGGAAAGTTAAGCTGAATGAACTGAGGGTGAAAAAGTTTGAAGTTAATTATGCTACATTAAATCATGTACTTTTACATCATGACTTTTCCAAGCTAAAGCATCCTCAATTTGCTTCAGCTTAATTGAGTGTTTCAATATACAGTAGTGCACTTAAAATTCTTATGCTTTCAATTTTTTACCTTAGTTTTCATAGAATCATAGAATCATTTAGGTTGGAAAAGACCTTTAAGATCATCCAGTCCAACCATTAACCTACACTACCAAGTCTACACTAAACCAATCAAGGGTAGACTAGACTAAACCATGATAGATTGGACTAAACCATGTAACAGTCTGTGTGTAAACATTCATTCAAAGAGTATTTAAGCCTTATGTGTTATTTTTTTACTCTACAGTTAATATAAAATGCTGAAATACCACAGGAGGATAGGTCAAAAGTGTGTATTGGATGAATACAGATATAATGCATCTATAATATGAGAAAGAATGGTTACTGCTTATTGTTTTCATTTTCTCTCCTGCATTAAACTTAACTAACTTGTGCTGGTGATGGTGATGATTCTTCTTCCAAACGTTAATCTACTGTCATTAATTCAGACTAGATTCCAGTCCATCTGTTTAAACTTGAAAAACAAGAGGGCTTGTGTATCTTTGCAAGTGTTCAGACTCTTCTGGTGGGTGATTGGGACCACTTTCTCCCTTCTGCCATTTGCCCCTGGGGGTGTTAAACAAATTGGAAATCTTATGAGGATGGGATAATTTTTTTCAAACTAATATGGTTTAAATTTGAGACATTGTATTGATTGGCTCTCCTTACATCCATACCTGTTGTTGTTTGTAGTAAATGGTCTGTTTGGTATGGAATAACCCTGTAACTTGTATTTTAATAGGTCCTATGCATCTTACTATTCACAGTTGGCCTAAGTATTTGTTGTTGGCCTTGTAATTAAGCTTCTCTCAGCGCGCTGTCTTGTTTAGTGTAGTCAATTTGTGCTATAAACTAGATCTCTCATCATATTTGGAATGATGTGTCCATTTGTCTTGTCTGTCCCATTCGATACCTGTTGCCATAGTTGTCTCCATGTTACACAGTGAGCTGGCATTCGTTTGGAATGTGATCTCTAGGCTGCTAAACAAAGCTGATGCCTTCACTTTCGTACTCTTCTGGCAGACTCCATTAGGAACGTGTGCAGGAAGTGGGCCACCTGAAGCAGAGCTGCTTGAAGCAACTCTTTCAAAAACAATTTAAACCATTCAGCTCTACCAAAAAGGCTTGCATGCTCACCACTCCCACTGCATTCACTGGAAACAGACATCACTGCATCTTCAGAAACCGACATCCTTAACACATATAGAATCAGTGCATAAGTTTAGACATACTGATTGTATCTGTATCACTTTCAGTATAGTGTCAAAAAAGTTTGTTTCTTCCACCCACAGACTGAGCTGCATTTTGCTGCCGTTCATTTGTATCCCTGTGCTCCTCCAGAGATTGTAGGTTCAATGAGGGAGGACCATTTTGTACCATCTAGAGAATGTGAAGCAGCGAGTCTTCTTTTTTCTTTCTTGGTTTTTGGGTATAATCACAACATAAATAAAACTGCAGCACTTTAAGTTTCAGGACTGCATATCTCCAAGTACACACTTCATTCTATGCACTAGTAAGTTGTACTAGTTCTGTAATAGAGTATTTAAAAATATGCATGTGCAGCATTGGTACTTAATAATTATGTTGTGTTGGTGTATAACACTAGGAAAAAAAAGGCTGCATACCAAATGCCTTTATTAGTAGACTTTCTACATGTATGGTTCCCCCTCACCCCCAAAAAATTGTTGTGTCTGGAAAGGGGCCTCGTTTTATCTCATCATAACAAAGCATTTCAGAACGGGATAGAAACATTACTCTTCTGTGTCCAGATGAGCTTTGTGCTTTTCCTTTGCAGTGGTTGGTTCTGCCCGTGCGCGACCTACTCAGCTTCCTGAGCAGTCTTCCTCTTCTCAACAGAATGGTAGTGTTTCAGATATATCTCCAGTTCAAGCTGCAAAAAAGGAATTTGGACCCCCTTGTATGTAAACCGTGTATCAAGGATTCATTCATTCTGGGCGTTACATGTACATTCTCTTGGATTATGTTGTTGTCCATAAATGATAAATGGTCTACATGCGCAGTTGTCTGTAGGCTTCCTTGAGAAGCTTTTTCAGAGAGCTGTGGCTAAACAAATGTTCACTTCTGTCATAGTTGTGCCAGTATTTGGAATTTGTTTTTCCTTTATCTTTTTTTAACCATGGCAGTGTTGTGGTTTCTTTTTTTTAATTTGCTTGGGCTTTCTTTTAATTCAAACCAAGAGATCACATGTATCTGTCCAAATATTTTTTGAGGGTCATTGTGCTTATATTTTTGGTCGTGTAATTATTGTCCCATTCCCATGATTTTTTTCTAATTCATTTATTTTATAAATTTTAGAAATTAAATTGCCATAATTATTCCATACTAATATTGATTTGCTTGAACGGATAGTTGATATAAATAAATGCATTCTAATTATTAATAAATTAAATCATAATTGAATAAATTAATAAATAATTGAAATGTTACAGTGTAAATACTAAATTCATGCAACACTGAAAATATTTTTAAATTATATCATTTTTCTTCAAGCACGTAGAAAATCTAATTGTGTAAAAGAGGTTGAAAAGTTGCAAGAGAAACGTGAAAAAAGAAGGTTACAGCAGCAGGAACTTAGAGAAAAAAGAGCTCAGGTTAGTATTTTTAGCTTGGACAGAAAATGCATGTCAGCAAGAGAAGAAGTTTGCAAAATCATTGTGCTTTTTCAGTCTTTAATAATTTTTATGAACTGTAATAATCTTGAAATTAAATGTTTTTGTCCTGTACACAAGTGTGATAAGTATTTTGTTGCTTGGTTGCATTGCTCCCATAACTGTCACTTTAGACAGTTTTCCCCCCTCTTTTTCTGCCTACAGAAGTAAATGTGTTCTTTAAAGATCAGGTACTGATGAGAGCTATTTCTTAGGGAAAATATTGCTGAAAATAATCAAAGCTTTGGTTTTTAGATAGGGCTGTTATTCTAGAGGAGGTGTTACAACATTATGATAAATTCTTCTTTATGATCTTCAATGCTTTGTAGGAGATCTGTTTGAGGCTCAAGTTTGAACAGTGACTTTTTTTTTTCTTTAAACCTGTCTATGCATTTATAATTTAGCTTTGCATCATGCAGGCCATTTGGCAGCAAGTTGTTAGAAACTTGTGTGAAAGAAAGCAAGCTGCTAATCCTGTGAGAAAAATCTCTTAATATTAAATGACTTTCTGTCACAACGGTGTAAAAGCTTTTGCAAAACTAGTAGCATAATCTTGTTGGCAGCCCTGTGCGTATGTGTTAGTCCCTCTAAGGAGATACTGTGAGTCTGCTACTGACATGAGAAATACCACCACCAAGTAAATAATTCAGGCAATTTACTTCATAGTTTAATGATGTTCCTAAGTTGACCTAAGATCACCTATGTTGAATTCATGTTCTCTAATTTCCATCCATTTACACAAATGCAAAACATTACTATACCTTTATGTGTAAGGAACAAATATTTTTTGCTTTGTTAAAATTATTTGATATGGTACTACACCTAAAATTTTCTTTTTATTGCTTTTGTGAACGCTCCCTTTGCATCTGAGTCTTAAACTTCTGTATCATAGAATCATAGAATAGTTTGGGTTGGAAGAGACCTGTAAAGGTCATCTAGTCCAACCCCCCTGCACTGAGCAGGGACAGCTTCAACTAGATCAGGTTGCTCAGAGCCCCATCCAACCTGACCTGGAATGTTTCCAGGGATGGGGCATCTACCACCTCTCTGGGCAACCTGTTCCAGTGTTTCACCACCCTCACTGTAAAAAATTTCTTTGTTCTTTCTTTCTTCTGTATGAAGAAGCTCTGTTTGTCTTGGTGACTTGTATGTGTCTGTGCTTTGTGCTTTGTGTATCCTGTTGTGAAATGCAGCAATGATTAGCAAAACACTGTCTATTCGTGGGCAAGACCTTTAAACAGGGTTTGAAGAATATTAGGCAAACACTTTTTCCACAGTAAGTGATGCCCCTTTCTGAATGTTAGAAGAAACATTTCAGCAGTAATACATTTTGTGTGGACTTACTGTCAACAGGTTTTAGTTCACCGTAGTCAGGTGAACAACATCAAGGTACAGTCAACTTCTGACTACCAGGGCACAGTTTTATCTGTGGTGAGGATCAGCTGTGTCACAGGTGCAGAGACATGAGCTGGCTCCATTTCAGCTTGTTAACCTCAACACTGTGCTTTCTAGGAGTGCCTACACTGTGTACACAACCAGCTGTGATCCAGAAGGGGTTTCATATCATTTGTGGGGAGCCATGCAAAGCTTAATAAGGTCTGAGCACCAGAGCTGGCTATGCATGGCATCAGCAGCATGTCCTGAAATGGTATAAAAACTGACAGCCACAGGGAGAAGTGACGGGAAGGACGTTTGAATGATTTAGCAGAGAACCAGCTCAGCTCACAGTAGGCTCAGACTTAGCAAGGCTTGGAGGGGCTCTGTGCATTGCCTCTTACATGTCCATTCACTCTGGTACGGATGGCTCCTGGTTTAGGGTCTGGATTTAGCCTACTGTATGGTTGGGATTGATTCTGCTTTTCGGGGGTGTCTAGGAGTGTTAGAAGGGTTTCCAATACATACAAGTAACTGTAGAGGTTAACTCAGGGCCAGTGGTAGGATCAACCTCCTTTAACCAACTTGGATCCAATAGGGTTGTGTTTAGAGCAGCTGGGGTGCCTGCACTGTCCTCTGTGGGGTGTTTTGTACCTGTCTAGTGGAGTGTATCCATTTGTCTGTTGGACCACCTTATCTAAGATAAGAAGTGTTCACTGTATAAGCTGTCTGGTGTTATGTGGTTTTCAGGAGGTGTTTCTTAGTGGGAAGATTCTGGCAAAGGCAAGAGTCATTTCTCTTTCTTGAGTAGACTGTTAATGAGTCTGCAATTCAAAAGTATTTTCTATTACATGTCGACCAAAAACATGAAATAGAAGGCATATAATTGCTTTGCTCTATTACCAGTAAGTTAGCTACATCAGAATGGAAAAAGGTGTTAAACTTGCATTTGAGATGTTTCTGGTGTTTTTGGAGAAAATGTAAGATTTCAGTTAATGTGTATTTTTCTTATAAATAAATACAGAAGATGCTGAAATTAGTCTATTTCAGGAAAAAAAGTATATTCAAAATTCTGTTGCTTAATTCCCTAGGATGTTGATGCTACAAACCCAAATTATGAAATTATGTGTATGATAAGAGATTTCAGGGCAAGTCTGGATTATAGACCACTGACAACTGCAGATCCTGTAAGTACCACAGCAACATGGAAGTTTTTTTATCCTCCTGTATTTTTGCCAGGTGTTTTCAGTTTTTTCAATGTATACTTCTGTCTGTAAACATAAAAAATAAGTAGTTTAATATATGCTAGTATTCTTTTTAACATGGATTATTTTTTTAGTAATCTGATGATATTGAAATTAGTAGTTACTGAAAGTCCTAGTGTTATGGTATAGCCCCAGTCGGCAACCAAGCACCACACAGCCGCTCGCTCATGCCCCCCTCCCCCAGTGGGTTGGGGGGGATAACTGGAAGAGCAAGAGTAAGAAAACTCATAGGTTGAGATAAGAACAGTTTAATAATTTAATAACAATAATAACAACAATAATAACAACAATAATTTGTAATGAAAACAATGAGAGAGAGAGAGAAAAAAAAATGAAAACGCAGGACAAACAAGTGATTCAACTGCTCACCACCAATTGACTGATGCCCAGCCAGTCCCCAAGCAGTGATCACTTCCCCTGTCCAACTCCCCCCAGTTTATATACTGAGCATGATGTCATATGGTATGGAATAGCCCTTTGGTCAGTTTGGGTCAGCTGTCCTGGCTGTGCCCCCTCCCAGCTTCTTGTGCACCTGGCAGAGCATGGGAAGGTGACAAGTCCTTGACTAGCATAAGCACTACTTAGCAACAACTAAACTGTCAGTGTGTTATCAGCATTATTCTCATACTAAATCCAAAGCACAGCACCATTCTAGTTACTAGGAAGAAAATTAACTCTATCCCAGCTGAAACCAGGACACCTAAGTTACTAAATCATTGTTAATTATGTTATATCATTTAAATACCTTTCGACTATAAAATAATACCAATATGTACTAAGTAGTCACTCAGCCTCTGTATTGTAAATTTTCCTGGGATGCTAGGGGATGTGCACACAAAACCATTAATCTTCCCTGAAAAACCCTATTGAGTATAAAGATAAATATTTAGTCTTTGAAGGTGATAAGGGCCTTTGATTTGCAGAGGAGTCAGAGGAGCAGAGTCCTTAAATGATGGAGATTATCAGACCTCTGTGGAAATTGGTGATAGTGACAACTTCTGTCAATAGCATATCTACCCTGTTAGAGCTGGGTTTGCTTGCAGTGTTCCAAGATGTACCTGATACTCCACAGGATTAGATCCCTGTCTGCAGGGAGTTTTGTTAATGTGTGGTTCTCCCTTCTGGGTTCTTGGCACAGACACAAGGGGCTTTTACAAGTTCAGATGACTCACTGTCTTGGAAATTACTCTTTGCTTAAATGATTGGTTAATTAATTCAACAATAGAAGTAAAATAATGTAAAATATCGTATAACTGGAATTGGGGTATAGTTCACTGAAAGATTGTTTCCTTTGCAGATTGATGAGCACAGGATATGTGTTTGTGTACGAAAACGACCACTGAATAAAAAAGGTATGACCATTTAAGATTTTGCTGAATTTTTTCTCTGAAAAGCTGCTTCTGATAGTAATATTATTTGTATTAAAGAGATCTAGAAATACTGATCAAAGGTGAAACTGTTATACTAGACAGTATGTGTGATGGACCCAGAAAATTCATAGACTCATCATAACCTGGATAGAGATGGGGAGGAAAGTAGTTTAACTGTCACCATTTCATGGATTGGGAGCTGAGGCACAGAGAGACTGCAAATTTTTTTCCTAAGGTCATCTAGGGTGTATTCGGTTTATCTAGGAATTAATTCTACTGTAATGTCTTCAGTATTTTTACATTGTGTTAGGATCACCGCTCTTTAAAACTATCTTTTAAGTGATCTCCTGAGCAGACACCTACGCAATGAAAACTTTCCTACACATTTTTTGTATATGTATTTTTATACCTTTCAAGTAGTCTTGGATCAGACACCAAGGGAGCAATTCAGGTACTTAAACACTGGTATCTTATGACGTGTTAGGGGACCAAGCGTGTCCGAGACAACCTTGCAGGGCTAGTGGATTATAGAGAAGCTGGAGACTTGTATCCCCTGAAGCTGCTGCTCAGCACTGGGCAAGGTACCCTAGGACATATGAAATGCTACTAGAAAACTTAGGTACTGGAATAACTCCCTAGTAACTTTTTTATATATGATTAGTGTTACAACTTTTTTTCTTACTACCTGCTTATCAGACTGGAGTCTGTATTCCAAAAAAAAAGTTCAAGTTTTCAACTCCAGTTAAATCCCAGTCTTCCCATGAAATTCTTTACTTTCAGTGGGAAATTATGAATGCAAATGCTTCTGGATTGCAGCCTGTCTGAATTCAGCCCTTAAGTAAGCTGACTTCCGTTTTGAAAGATGTTTCTTTCCTTCTCTTTCTCTTATATTTTGTTTAGCTAAAAGACTCAAAGAGCATCGCTCTAACTCTGAAACCACATGGGATGCATTTATTATTTTTGTACTGTCAGAACTACACATTGAGGATTATCTGTAGCATATCCAGAGGAAAATGGGAGAATTGTAAGGAAAAGGGAAAACTTATGTTGATACCAGTATGTAGTTAGTGTTGTCTTTTTTTTCCCTTCCACGTTGCTGCTTTCCCT